TTCATTTGCTGTTTGTTAAATTCTTTTCCTTTTGTTCTTGTTTTGATAATAATGCGCAAAAAAAACAATAACAATATCTATAAAATAAAAATAGTAAATCTGTTATTGCATCGCATGATGTGTGAATGCACGTTTTAAAAAGAATTATAAATCGGCTCCACTGCCGAAAGTAGCTTTTTTTTTTATAATTTTTTTTTGTTTTTTTTTTTTTAATACGAATTCTAATGCATTGGCTCATTCCCATTTCGGCCGTCAAAGTGTTTAGAACGTTACCGCGACAAAGCACGCCATTCATTGGTGATGAGTTTTGTTTGTTTGCGGAACATAGTTAATATAATGTATACACGATACGATTGGTTGCGGTTTTCATAAAAATAAAAAAAATAAAAAAAAAATAATTACGTCTATGCAGCTTTGTGTTCTTAAACGTATTGCGGAAGGAAAATTAAACGCGAAAAAAAGATCACAAATTCAGCTTGTGCAGTGGTCAAGCAATTATCAGTCGGCCCTACGGGGCGCGTTTGGCAAGTTTGCTTTGGCCAAGCAGTGGCCGCGTCACCCGATCGCAATTAAATACAATAAAATTCAAGTTAAATGGTAACAAGAGAAGAAGAGGAAACGATTGTAAATAAATTAATTGAAATCTACGGTAATATGAATTGTTGCCAATTGAATTATAATTCGATAAAATGTTGAAAAGCTTTTTTGTTTTCTACGAACGTAAAGGAAAAAAAAAATAAAAAAAAAAAAAAAAATAAACAAGTAATAATAATATAATAATAATACACTACAATACGAGAATTTTAAATTTAGAAATTTTTGTAAGGATTTCATGATGTATGGAATTTTATCCTATTATATATCCATCACCCATCTATTAGTTTTATATATAGATTTTCTAAGAATTTTTAGACAAACCCATCATCCAATATATTAGATACCTAGAAATTGGCCCGCATTTCGTAAAATGAGTAAAATTTCTTAACTGAGAAAGAAAGATTTCTGATCGAAATCTAACCAACTCATGTCCACCCGCCACCCACTTCCCACCTCCCAATTAATCTATCATCTTTACTCCATCAAAAAAAAAACATAGAAATCTATTAAAATTAACTAAGGTGCTGTCGTCCTAAACTTTTTATTGTGATAAGAATACAGTTGTCGTAGTCACGTAGCGATTTAAATTAGAAAATTTATCGATAAAAAAAAGAAAAAAAATATTAAAAAAATATAAGATTAATTACAATGAAAAATTCTTACCTGAACAATTATTACCTGCCATAGGTATTATGTGTGAGTAACTTGTGCACGTACACAATAGCGTACACGTAAAGTAAAATTATCGAATTGAAATAATTGAAAGTAAATTTTGGGCAGTTTCTTCTTCTTCTGTATGATTCTCATCATTGCATAGAATACAATACTGAGCTCAATACTGACTTGACACATTTCACCAAAGTTTAACATCATAAATTCTCGATCGGGGATTGCATTGGGCTAAGACATTCAAGTTATTGTCTTTTTTTTTTGCAACATTGGAACCTATTGAAATCTTTTGCCGTCCTCTACTCTTCTAATGCAACCCATTCCATAAATTTGCGTATACAAAAACAAATTCAAAAGTTCTACTGCTTACCTGATTCTTCGATTATATTCACTTTGGTTGTTGTTCGTTTCATAAGCAATTTACTACCTAGATATGTAGATCGTCAGCTACATTAGATATTCAAAAACAATATGATTGATAAAAGAGGCATGTGTACATGTCGTCATTTGTACACCTTGCAATGCCGATTCCTCTGGCGGCAGTTCTTCTTGGCTTAATTGAATTGTTCCGGTTGATTTTTTGTTAAACATGAAAGAGTGTTAGTAGTTCAGTTCAGTGCTAGTGGTAGTGCTAATGGTAGTGGTAGTAGTAGTGTAATTGAATAATTCGAAAAAAACAAAAGCTTCTTATAAAACAATCGGAATTGAAGACCATTTTATTTGAAAGTTGTGCCTAAAGAATTTTCATATTGTTTTGCAATACTTTTATAGTTTGAATTTTTTTTTTTTTTCTCAATTACTTAAATATTTTGTAATTTTAACCATATTTTAATATAAAAGTAATATATATTTAAGTTTCATATTTTGTTACGCTATTGTTTACAACGTATTGCCATTTGTTGATGACTTACTTTGAATTGTTTTGTCCGTCACGCGAAACAGACTTCATTTTAGGAGTGTAAAGGATTGCGTTAGAATTCCATTTTTTTTTTTTATTGTTATGTTATAATGTTTTTATAGTCAAAACAAGAAATGCTAAAACTTAATTCTTAAAGCATCAGCGTCGTCGGACTTGAGTTGTTAGCCCGCTATTCGGGCGTATTTATTATCTTCAATGGATTCAATTTGCCGGACCAGGGAAATCAGGGTAACAATAGGTGCGAGGACTTGGTTTTCGCATTTCTTCTTTTCTTCTATATTAGGCTATACGTTCGTTCGCCCAATTACAATTTACTATATTTAATTTATATTTAATCTTTGTTTCTTATATATTAGGTGACATTAAAAATTCTCGCCGGGGTGGGGAATGCTCTCAAACGAGCATGATAGTTTTCTAATTTTTTACTCGTCTAAAAAATGAATGAAATATCTGAAGAAATACGATATATGATATGCTTTTCTTCTACTACGGGAAAGGGTGAAACATGGCGAAAATGTTTGTCAAATGTGCGGTGAGAATGCCGTGTTGTGAACGAAGGATCCAAGGAGTGGTTTGCTCAATTCCGTTTCGGAAATTTCAATGCAACAAAGATGCAGCTCGCAGTCAATGAAATTTTCCAAATGGTGGAGCAAGACCCGCCACGCCCAAGCAGTCGGGAAATAATGGAGCTGCAATGGACAGTTTGGTATCATTTGAAATGAGTAGACTACAAGGAGAAGATTCGTTGGTGCGGAGACTTTTCAATATGATCTAATATTTTCTGAATCGATAACGCAAAGTCAGTTTAGATCGATCTGTGAATGCTGTGAATGTCTAAACTAAATAAATTCGTTTTTTTGAGGTTATTGAGGAAAAGATGTTGGAATTTTTTTTTTTTAAACTAAAATGTTCTTTTGATGTTGTGGGTGTAGTTTTAAGAATGGATTTTATCGATTGCTCAAAGTCCGAAGATAATCAAAGAAGACTATGGTTTGTTGCGGGTATTTTAAATGGAACGAACTCGGTACATATTATCATATGCAAGATGCAGAAGAGCAAGAAGATTAGCAAGAAAATTTTATATATAATCCAAGATGACTTTTGAATACCTAATCATAGCATTTTTGCTGTGGCTTTTCAAATCACCCTGTTTAGTTAGATATGCACACTCCCTTCAATAGAGCGTAGAATTTTGGTTAAGAATTTAATGGAACGCAATCTGCCATTTTCCATATGAAAAAAAAATTGATATATATCTACAAACAATTTACTCGTTTCTAGCCGTGATCGAAGCATATTAGAATATTCCATGCTTTTTTTAACACTACCACCTGACTCGTTTATTATCTTAGAAACATTATTCAAAGTGTAACCATGTTTATATAGTTTTGGAGAAAAGGGAAGTCTTGCACTTTAATTTTATTACTTCCTCGCGCATTCATTTCGATGTAAACTTCGCAAAGCGCTAATAGGCTTTTTTTAATCGAAAGTCAGTTCGTTTCACGATCGGTACTAATGTTGTGTTAAACTTTCAGAAGATTTTTTTTTTTTTTTTTTTTTTAGATGAAAGTGTAATAAGTGATTGCAGATGTTTTTGAAATTTTTTTCGTCGGCATTTCGTCTTCATATTATGCAAATGTTATGCTGATAAAATTTTTATCTCCGATAAATATTCCTCAACATTGCGAAACAATGATTTGGCATACGTGCCGTTCACTATATTATTTCATGGAGACTAATAAATATGATAAGATTACGAATGGATTATTTATGAAATGTCAGGCGCGTTAAGTAATAGAGGTTATGTTCATTTTTCAAATCAATGCGAGTAAATCAACTTCTGGCAGTGGATTTTTTATCACTTATGTTGAATAATCATTGAAATCTTAAAAACGCTTATTAGTATTTTCATTCATTTCTGTAAATTGTACATGTCTAAATACATAATGACCAACGTAGTTGGTATAAAAATGTGCTACAATAGATGATATTGCAACATTGAAAGGTAAGACATGTGTAACATGTAACATATAAGATGTTCGTTAGACGACGAATCCTCGAGAGCTTACATTTCTTAGTTCCGTAACAAATATATAAAAATTGTTCTGTGTATTGTTTACTGCAAATACATTACATCCTATATTGGGGAGTATGATCGCAGCAGAGTTATTGATAAACAGAAAAGGCATACAATATTCATAAGCCTACAGATTAATGACGACAACTTCTTTTTTCTTTTTTAAAATAATTGTTTGAGGGTCATATATATATATATATATATATATATGATATATCATATATGTCGCTCCCTCCGCGGCATTCTAAACATTATATGGAAATTTTTAATAAAACTCTCGCCCTCACTCTAATGCTACATTAAAAAAAAAAAAAAAAAAAAACATCGTGAGACAAATTAACATTCGAACACTCAACACAACTCAGGCTCTCTCTCGCTAATGAATTATTTCGTGTTTTTGTCTCTTTTCACACAATTCACATTTCAAGAACAACAAAAGACAGACATTAAAAACGATAGGAGACGAAAAAAAATCTTTCAGAAATGAAGGCAGAAGTTAGCAGTAGTTTGTATTAATATATACGCAAACAAATAGTTAGCAGTTGAACTATGAAATTTTTTTTTCAATTTTTTATTCATTTTGCCTGAACAACTTTAGATTGAAACGAAAGAGAGAATTGTATTGCAATACATTTGAGGAGAAGAACGAACAACTTTTGAGGGCATATTTAATTTAAGAGCACAGTTTTTATCTTTATATGAAGAGTCGTCGTCGTCGTCGTCGTACGCAATATGCTCCGTTGCTTGGCCACAATCTAAAACGAGGGAATGTTAAACAGTAATAATGAGTGAGAAGAGTGCTTTTATGCCCATCATTTCTTTTCATCAAAACGTTTGCAACACACCACAAAGAGCAATATATTCTTAATTAACATCAAATTCTCGAATCGATATAGGCAAGTATGTATGTATATCTGTCTGTCTGTCCGTCTGTCTGTTTGTTTGTCTGTTTGTCTGTTTAGTGTCTATGATAAACATTTTTTCATTGACAACGAGTTTGGCAAACCTATTGCAAGTTGTTGCGCCGCGAGCTTCGGGGAAAATCAGGATCAAATCGATCGCAGAATAAGTCTATGGTATATCATCAAATGAGAACCGCTGCACTTTTTACAGTTACATATACACATACAACAATAAAAATGTCCACGTACACTTGCCATTCTATGCGCAAATGTGGAAAGAATCAGTCAGTCTCCTACACTGTACATACTGGAGCATTGAAGTGTGATTTTTTTCGTTGTCTTGAGTTTGATGATCGCCTGGCGGCCGACTACAGGCGTGAATTTTCACAAGCTAATCTAAAATTAGATTTACAGCCGCATTCTGAGCAACATCACAGATATGTCACAAGTTATTTGTACATGCTTTTCGTGGCTTAGCGAACAGACATTAAAGGAGTTCTAACTACTACTCCGGGAATACTAAAATTCGTTATATATGGTATGGTAACAAAAGAGCTACATAAGAAAACATTTTGTTTTCTTTATTGCGACCAGTGACCGCACTCACAACGTTCAACTATTGATCGAGTGACTGAGTGAGTGAGTGAGTAGTAGATTTCAGAATTCAAATTCACGCAGCATACAAAATGCTTAGGGTATTTAATGTGCTGCGTATTTGAAATGTCGCAAATAAATGAAATGAAATGAAATGATGCATTATTGTTGTTTAGTAATGGCTATGAAACGTATAATTAATAACTAGTTCCGTCGATGCTTCACTTGTTGTATGCATTTCACTTATTTATTCTCCTTGCATCATATAATAATAAGTTGAGAGAATAAGTTATTGACTATACATACATAATTTAGTTAGTTGTATTAGTGAGAATATTATTCGTTTTCAAGTGTTTGTGTACGTGCACATGTATGTGTGTGTATGTGTGTGTGTGCCGCTGACTGGAGAGAATGTATTTATTTCGGTATGGGAATGAAAACATATTTTGTCCACGTTATTAGTTTTCTCGTATCAATTGTAAGTGGATAAAAACACGTATGATTAGGAATAATTAACCGCTTAAATTAAAAACGAAAAACAAAGGATAAATTGAAAGTGTACCTTATTTATATATTTCTCATATCCAAGAATAGTAGTAGTAGCAGATATAGGATAGGATATAACAAAAAAGTTTTTCAACTTTTGTTTTCTTTGTGTGTGTAAACATATATATATGTATTTTCTTCTTTTTTTTTTTTTCGTTTTCTTTCAACAAATTTTATTTGCAGAAAGCAAAGTTATACGCTCTGCGACACTTAATGATAATACATTATTAATACATGCTGTGCTTGCAAGAAAGGCAACCAAAACTTATTAATACAAAAAAAAAAAAAAAAAAAAAAATTTTGCGAGAAGTGAAGCAAAGAGTTGCTTAATAATAGTCTATAAAAAACCCGTATTTGGAAGGCAGTTATTATGAGAAGGCTGTTTCATTAGTGAATACAACTTTCCACTAAACTAAAACACGTTAACATACAAAAAAATTTCTTTAGTTCGGTAGATAGCTGCCCGTTAAAGTCTTTTAAAAGAAAAATTTTAAAACTTTTTACAAATTTATTTGTTTAATGCTAAAGAAATATTTATGAGTAATATTGAAAAATTAAACGAGAAATCACCATCATCATCATCATCATCAACATCATCATCAACATCATCATCATCATCATCATCGTCATCGTCATCGTCATCATTATTACCCGTATCATCGTCAATTTCATGTATATCATCAATATCATCAAAATCAGTTGAAACGATTGCTGTGACACTGCATAAAGAAGAAGAAGAAGAAGAAGAAAAACTCTCTTCTAAACCACCAATTAAATCAATTTCAAAATTTATTACTCCCATTTCATCATCAATTGCCGAAATCGAATCACTTGATAGATCTTCATCTCAAGCATTTGCATTATCGTCGCCGTCTTCGTCGTCATCATCGTCATTATCGTCTAGTGCTCTTCTTCAAACAGGCCCTAAGATTGGCCTGGCCTCGTCTGAGCATATTAATGAAAAACATACACATCAAGAAACCCAAACACAATTCAATCTTTTGAATTCCATATTACTTTCGTCCGCAGTAAACGCTGCAGTAGCAAAGCAACAACAACAGAGTACATCAGTTGTACGCTCTGTTACCAGTACGAGCATCATGGATATGCCCTATAGTACCTCGCCATCCTTACGTGTGCGTACCACTTCGTTAAATCAATTAAAAAAAACGGCCGATATTAATATTGAAAATGAATTGCATGTCTGCCCTAGTGAAATGTCCGATGAGTTGCGTAAACTTTTGCCACCCACTTCGGAAACGGTAATGACAAAACCATTTCCCATACGTGGCGAACGCGCCATCTCAGACGTATCGACACCGCACGTGATCGCTATGGTTGGATTGCCGGCACGTGGCAAAACATTCATATCGAAGAAACTAGCTCGTTATTTAAATTGGATCGGCATCGCTACACGGGTATTTAATTTAGGCGAGTATCGTCGTTTAGCGACCACCGCCTATAAATCGCACGAATTCTTTCGAGCTGATAACGAAGAAGCGATGGCTATACGTACGCGTTGTGCTAATCAAGCTTTGCAAGATTCTTGCGAGTGGTTACTTAGCGGTCAGGGCAGTGTCGCTGTCTTTGATGCAACTAATTCAACTTATGATCGTCGACAACTTATTTATGATATTGTTGTGAAAGAGCGCGGTTTTCGTTTATTCTTTGTTGAATCGGTTTGCGACGATCCACAGATCATTGAACAGAATATCAAAGAAGTAAAGGTTAGCTCACCCGATTATGTAAATATGAACACCGAGTTAGTGGTGCGCGATTTTTTGCAACGTATTGAACATTATGAGGAACGTTATCAACCCATTGATGAGATGAAAGAATCACATCTAAGTTTTATGAAGATTTATAATGCTGGCAAAAAAGTGGTTGTCTATAATAGCGAAGGTCATGTTGAGTCGCGTATCGTCTATTATTTGATGAATATTCATATAACACCACGTACAATTTATTTAACACGTCACGGAGAATCTGAACATAACCTTAAGGGCCTAATAGGAGGAGACTCGGATTTGAGTCAACGCGGTCATCAATACGCCAAAGCTCTTGTTGCGTATATTGAACAACAGAAAATTGATAATTTGAGAGTGTGGACGTCGTGGATGAAACGTTCCATACAAACAGTGGCTGATGTTAAGGCGCCGCAAGAACGTTGGAAGGCATTGAATGAAATTGACGCCGGACATTGTGAGGAAATGACCTACGAACAAATTAAGGAGAAGTTCCCGGAAGAGTTTAAGGCACGCGATCAGAATAAATTTGCTTACCGTTACCCAAGAGGCGAAAGTTACGAGGATCTGGTTGCACGCCTGGAGCCAGTAATTATGGAATTAGAACGTCAAGGTAACGTTTTGGTCGTCTCACATCAGGCGGTATTACGTTGCTTATTTGCTTATTTCTTGGACAAATCGGCTGATGAATTGCCGTATTTGTATGTACCATTGCATACCGTCATCAAATTGACTCCGGTAGCTTACGGCTGTAAAGTGGAACATATAAAGTTACCCATCGATGCGGTTGATACACATCGTCCTAAACCCAAAATTCCTGGTGATGTTTCATTGGGTTTGGACGGTTTGAGCGGCGAATTGGTTGCCCCCGATGGCGTAGGTAAAGTATTGATTGTGGGCGATGACGTGACCAAAGCCACGAAGAATGGTGCTTAGTTATATAACAAACTGCAATGAACGCAGTAGCGCTAGGCATTGGAGGCAATACAATCCATGAAAATTAAAATTAAAAAATTATGAAACGTCCATTCTCTACCGATTCTATTCTCATTGCGATCCTTTAACAATACATCATTTATCGTGCTCAACATTATTGTCATCACATTGAATGCAATCTTCGCTTCAAAAATTGCTAAATATCCGCGTTTATTTTTTTCCTTTTACACATACTTAACTTAAATTTAATTTTCAATAAACCTGTATTTTGTCTAATGAAAATTTATTATAAAAAAGTGTTTGACTTGCCTTGTAAAGTGTAAAGGATATCACGCAAATTATTCGATTATAATTTTTTTTTTTTTTTTTTTTTCTGACAACCTAATCCATTTTAAGTTTTTGCATCGTTGACTTACTGCATAGGATGATAGAAATTTGTATTCGTTGACAAACTTCGAATATTTTTAGTATTCAACATGGTATTATTCGAAAAATTTCTCAAGTTCTTTTTCTTCGCTACAATCTCTTCTTGGTGCAAGTTCTTGGTCAAAAGGAGCTCAAATTTGCTTTTTACACACAATCGAAACTGTAAAATAATGCTATTAGAGTATTGGTAGAATACTTGTTGGACAATTATAAGAGGCACGATGGATGGATTATTCAGCGTGATATCTAAAATGTCCTAAACGAAGGACAGACGGATGAACATAAATTAAAAATTTATATAGTATATGTAATTTGTATTTTCACATTTAGCAACGAGAAAGACAAGAATTTCTGATGGTTCATTCAAATGATTTCTTGGGGCTGTTGCCCCGTCGACGAGTATGTATGATGGTTAAACAATGCAATGTAAAATTGATCTGGATTCACTTGAACTGTTTTATACCATTTTCTAGGATAATTTTTTTTACTTTTACTATTTTCTGTGTTACAGTTGTCAAACCACGCGCGTTGTCGCGTTTCACTTCTAACATAATTTAAAAATACAATGAAATATCATTTGTGAAATTGTTACGTTTCTAATGTTTTACAACTCAATTGGATTGAATCTCGAAGGCAGCTAATGTCATGCTATAGTTCTTTTCGACTTACCATTGGTACTTTTCATGTTGATTATACATACACATAGCTTTCATATCGATCAGGGATCACGGGATCATTGTCTATCATCTATGTAATGAGCGTTTTCTGTTTCCTACAAAGGGGATGCGATTAGCAAAAACCAGAAAGAAGTAAAATATTCACTCTAAGAATCTAGTCATTGTACTGCCACATGCCTGTGCTGCCATGCAGTCCTGCTTAAGTTCGCCTTATATCGTAATTTCAAAGAAACGAGAAGTTGCCATTTACAAGGAACATATTTCTATTTCTTTGAATTTCGAAATAAAAGACAAATAACAAGTTTTGGTTATCAGAAAATTTGATCTGGACCAAAAATGGCCTTTTGTTTTTTTTTTGGTGCTCAAAAAGCTATATATTAGATGTCTGTAGAATGTTTGATGAGTTTTTCACTTGACAAAGGCATTTATTGAAAAAAAAATTTGTACAATGTATATTAAATAAAATATAACTTCCATCATTTTCTACAAAATTTTGCAATATTTTTGGCAACATGAGGGTATTACGGTAGCTATCCATCCGGCGACCCATTTTTGCATTTCGTCAACTTTGCGGGCATGTATGCCAGCCAAGTCATGCTGCACCGATCTGAACAAGTAGTATTCTGGAGCTGACATATCTGGTGATTAAGTTGCGTGTGGCAGCACTACAACACTGTATGTGGACAACTCTCTTAACAATCCAATGCCAATATGGCATTTTTAGTCAATGTGTTTTGTCATCGTTAAACCCAAAACTGGCAATTGGGATATGATAGACTAGCATCACTATAAGCCTCTGAACGTGTTTGGTGAACTATGGCAGCAGATTTCTCCAAATAAATAACAAAAGCAATGAGTTTGGAAGAAGAGAGAGAGAGAGAGAAAGCCTACCCTGAATGAATCAATAATATTAAATAGAAAACTATTATTTTATATAGAAGAAGGTCAAAATCATCGAATTCAATCGTTATGTACACTGCTATTTCCCATTTCTTCATCAGTTTTACCTGTAGAAATCGCTGATCAATAGTTTTGCAAACACATAATATTTATATAAATAATAAATGTACATTTGTACATATATGAATTTTTTCGTTCTTCATCAATTTATAAAGGTAACATAACAAATGAATAACTTAACTAAAATCACCTCGAAGACGACGAATTAAACAAGAAACATTTTCGGTTTTTAACCAAACACATATGAATATTTAATTGACAAAGTAGCATCCAGCGCTAAAGGCCGTAATCCCGGTCATTGCATAAACATAATTTCATTGATTGATTGGTTGGTTGGTCTGTAAGTATTTTCGATAATTTTGGAATTCGATCGGTGGTGAGTATATTTGAATATGCACAGGTTAATAAATAAATACTCTTTACTCGAGATTATCAGTACAACAATTATGGAAAGGTTATTAGGAAAATTTAAAAAATTTCAATTGTAAAACGTTCATCTTAACGGATTTGCTTTAATGCGAACTAAATACGGTAGGGGTCTGTTTATGCTTCTCGATGTCGATATAAGGGAATTCAATTCAGCAACGTTTTAGTTTAGTTTTGCTATCATCTGTGTGTGAAAAAAATAATCTACTCAAAAGTAAATGCAAAAAAAGATGAAGAAGAAGAAAGTAAACAATGAAACAAATAAACAAATAAATTTTAATTCTTCAGCTAAATATAAACGCAAGCAATTATTTTACTTTTCGGATTATAAGATGCACCTTTTTACATAGAGAAATGGACTCAAATTTTGTGTGTGTCTTTTTGCCCGAAGGTAAAGTTCAAATTCCTTTCAATAAATCGTCTCCAAATTTTGAGGTACGTTAGGTACGTACGGCAACAATAGTTCAGATGAAATATATACGAAAGGTGACATTAACGAGACCAGTGTTAGCATCGAGAGTTTAAGACGAATTAAATATTGCTAGTACGAGTTATATTAACAATAAATAAAAATTTTGATATATATTTTTCTAAAAATCATTTGAAGAGTGCGTCTTATCGTCTGAAAAATACGGTAAGTATATTTAAAAGGGGATTTCACTGAAAGCAAGCAAGACTTTGTTATCCCTTTAACTATCGAGAATGTTTTTCGCTCGATAGCGAAAAAAATGTCCACTCTATTGATTGCTAGGGTAAATTCATTATTCGAACCGTAATCCCGAATGCAAAAATTACAATCAAATTTAATTGATATCGAGAATCGTAAATCGTCTCTAGATAATTACATGTATATACATATGGTGCTTGAGTTTCCACCAAGTGTATATTGAATTGAATTTTTTTAATTGTCCCACTGGAATATTGTTGTCTTTGCTCGCAAGTACAATTTATTTGTTCGCATAGTAACTGAAATTCAGTTTAATATTTTATATTGGAGTTAGAATTTGAAATAATTGTTGTTTATTTTTTTATATAAATACTAACGATTGAAAATTCATTTTCATAATGCCCGATAAAATGCTGAATATTAGTTTAAGCAATGAATATCGTAACCACGATGGTACTTTATTGTTAAACGACGATTCTACAATTGAGAAAATAAAGAAAAAAAATTTTGCATAAAGTTTACATACATATATATATACTCTGCATTGTATATATATATATATATATATATAAGAGAAAATATAGAAAAGCACAAGAAATAATTTTACTTGAAAATTTATTTGGTGATAATTTAAAATAAACACAAGGGCAAATAGCAAGCAAGTATGTTGGGTATCAAGTAGAGATGTTAAAAAAAAAAAAAAAGGAAAAAGTCAAACACGTCTTTGTCGAGAGAAAGTGCTCTTGTATGCATTAAAGACTTGAAATATTCAATCTACTTCAATTGAACGAGTAGTAGGGTTATAATATTTGCTCTGCTCGATGGCTACGACCTACCATTGTTTCTCAAATGAATTCCCATACACACATTGGGAAGCTTATTACGATATTTACAACGAAATCTCCCATTTCTGGTAACTCTTTCTCTTATGTTTTATATGTGTATGCGTGTACGCGTGTGTGCATATGTGCATTAAGCGCGCTATTAATTGTTATTCTCGAAATTTCGATTTCCCAATGTTTTTTTCATCCATTGTTGTTGGCGATCCTTCTCTTTCTCTTTTGCATATGCGCCCATAAGCGTGCGTAGTGTACTTGTGTTTCTTATTTCGTGTGAACTACAGGTCTAATTGTTTCCTTTTTTTTGTCTTTTGATTTGGTCATGTGTACGTTTATGTTCTTTTTATAAGAGAGTAAACGTAAATTGTTTTTAAAATATCTTATCTAGTTGAACGGGAGTGAAGCAAAAACAAATAATTTCAACTGGAAGATAAAATACAGTGTTCCGGTTAGGTAAGTAATAATCAAAATTATATGTGGAAAGAAATTTTGAAAATAAAAATCAAAAATTATTGAAGAGATAGTAATAGCTATTACATACATATATATGTTTTAAGAGAAAGAGGATTTTCTATCCATTTGAAGGCGTAGCATTAGTTTTTTTTTTACTTTCTTTAAGGAAGCTATTTTATCTGGATTTTTCTCTTGCAGCGATGACTGTGTGACGCGATGATTCCTCCCCCAAAAGTATAGAAAGCTTATATGAACGAATCTCGGCTTAACCTAACTTTTGCATTTGCATGCTACATTAAAGAAAAACACGTGTTTTGTTAATTAGAATTCTTATGAGTTACACGAAAACTGGAGGATTATTAAGTCAGTCTTGCTTTTGGTAAAATCATAGGAAATAGTAGCAAAGATCTTGTATTTGAAAAATAGGAAATTCTTGTAAAAATTACCGTTTTACTCAGTCAATCATTAAAGTAGTTTTTTTTTGTATGCACGTATCAGGGAACAATTTTATCGCCTTCGTTTTTATATTTTTAAGCAAGTCCGAATGAGCGGTATATTAAGTTTCTATCGAGGAAAGAAATTGCACACAGAATTTCTCAAGAAAGAATGTATTTCATCATTATCTCTTGAATAAGAATGAGGAAGCTTTAAGTTTCGTCGAAAATTTGTGGCATATTCATGACACGTGCCGTCATAAGTTAAACCCCCATAGGGCTTTGCGAGGTGTTTCGCCATGTTGCTTGTCGATTATACTTTTGGTGTTTTTCTCCTGTCAATAATAAGGCTTTTAACTTTTAGAAAAACCAGTTTTATACTCATCAGCGAAGGATGACGGGGTATATTCGTTTTGCAACGACCCAAAGGAAGCGCTCTTGATCAGCATTAAGTTCTGAATCAATTTAAGTGTGTCGGTCCGTTTGTCTACGTAATGAAATGAATCTGTCGACTTCAATTTCAACCGAAATGTTGAAAATTTGTGCACGCACGATGATAGTAAGAATGGGATAAATTTGTCGCAGGGTACTTCTACAGCACACCGTAAACTGAAAATATCTCTCATTTTTCAAGAGGAATAAAAAATTTGTTTTTTTTGATCCTTGCTCGCAAACTATTACAGCAGATAAACGTACAAAATTTTAAAATTACATCTTATAGACGCTATCCTGTAGAAGTTATACAAAAAAATAGAAAAAAAAAAAAATTAACTACGCCTAGCCAATATTATAGTGTTACCAAAGTTTGAATGTTTTCGTGAACACGTTTAAAATACGCCGAAACAAGTTTTTAAAAATCCCATTAAGTATAAAAATTCGTTGGTCAGTTTCAAATTTGGAATGCACCTAAGCATATTCGTCTGTTCGTCTGTTCATCGGTTAGTTCGTCTACCTGTTCGTGTGCCCATTCTCCCGTTCATGCACGCAAAGAAGAAAATATCGCTTACAAATTTGCAAAAGACTTTGGATATGGTCCTTACCTTTCCGTTATGGATATAAAAACAACATCTTAGTCAATAGCAATGTCGACTTTTTTTCTCGATTTTATCAAAGTTTATTCAATTGCGCGAAAAAAAAACTGGTCGACAGCATAAAATCGAAAAAACCTTCATGAATGCCTTCGTATTTTTGCTGAAATAACATCACGGCGGCAAGTATTCTGCAACATCTCCAGCGACATAATAATACCCACATATCAGAAAAACTTTTATTCCTATAGCAAAATTAAAAAAAAACAAAATACAGGTGTACATTCTCTCTCTCTCTCTCTCTCTCTCTCTCTCTCTCTCTCTCTCTCTCT